GAGACACTCATGAACATCAGCAGGAGAGGACTCTTTAAAGTAGAGACACTACATACTGATATACACCTGAACATCAGCAGGAGAGGACTCTTTAAAGTAGAGACACTACATACTGATATACACCTGAACATCAGCAGGAGAGGACTCTTTAAAGTAGAGACACTACATACTGATATACACCTGAACATCAGCAGGAGAGGACTCTTTAAAGTAGAGACACTACATAGTGATATACACCTGAACATCAGCAGGAGAGGACTCTTTAAAGTAGAGACACTACATAGTGATATACACCTGAACATCAGCAGGAGAGGACTCTTTAAAGTAGAGACACTACATAGTGATATACACCTGAACATCAGCAGGAGAGGACTCTTTAAAGTAGAGACACTACATACTGATATACACCTGAACATCAGCAGGAGAGGACTCTTTAAAGATGAGACACTACATAGTGATATACACCTGAACATCAGCAGGAGAGGACTCTTTAAAGATAATCGTGTGTGTGTTGACTCACAGCTGCTTGTCGGTGTGTGTTGGACAGAATCCCGTGGATCTTCACTTTGTCTTTTTGCATCTGGTCCACATCTACCCACAAGTCCTTGCTCATTGGGTCTGACGGGGTGTATGTTTTTGACGTGTAGTAGTTGTGATCTGTGTCCTCCTGCAGAAACAAAACAACAACAAAAGAAGTTATGTAGAGAAATGTAACACGACTTAAGGGAGAGATTAGATGTTGCTGTGCGTCCTTAGAGACTAAATCTAATTCAAAGTAATCTAATAAACTGTAGCTGCAGATTTAGCAAAAACCTCAGAAAACATAATGAAAATCAATGAGGTTTTTCATTCTTCTCTAATTAGATTACGTGACAATGCATTTTCTTCCCATTGTGTCTGCATTCTCTTTGTCCTTTAATTCACTCATTTCATTAGCGCACAGAAAAAAAGCCAATTTACTCTTTCCTCTCTTAAAGTAAAAGCAGACTGCACCATCAGGATGTAACAGAAGGTGGACTTTTATGAGCCATGTGGGAGATTTGATAGTTTCCTATAGTTAGGATGCTCGGTCTTTGCTCCTGTTCTCGTCTGCGCCAGCTGTGTCTTTAAAGTGAACGTTGGTAAAGTCAGGGAAGCTGAGCTGTATGCCCCTTTCACACCAAGGCTTTTCCTGTTCTAGCTCCGGGCTAGAGCTTTTTTGGTTCGGAACCGGTTCTTCAGTTCAGCTCCCGCTCTGTTCACACCGCTCAGAGCCCGACTGGTGCTGCGTCATCGTTTGCGTCATGCCGTAACCATTTGCGTGCCTGCTTCATAAAGCCAAACCGCGCGGAAACCCCTCACATCAACAACAACAACAATGACGATTGTATTGAAGCGCTACTCGTTTTGGTTTTGCTCTGTCAAACAAATGGAAGAAATGGGACGACTTTACTACAGTCATTACAGCTACATTAAAAAGTTATTTCTCTTTGAATCAACTTCAACGACGATTCCGTAGGAGAAAGAAGGTAAATATACTCTATTCGATGCGTTAGAGCTAGCTGTTGTTAGCTTCTGCGCCAAGCTCAAAATACCCAGCTTTGAGATTAATTACTTTGGTATAACATCAACGGACCCCCCCCGCCCCGACGTGAGCATGACGTACGCGTGCTTGCTTTCTAGACGACAACTTTTTGGTGCTTGAAACGAACCGGATTCCGGAGCTTAGAGGCGGCTCCGCTGGGTGTGAACAGGAAAAACCGGTGCTTTCAGCTCTCCGAACCGGCCCTGGAACCGCGTTGGTGTGAAAGGGGTATGTGTGTAGCACCAAAGCAAGTTTATACGCGTTTGGAAACAGCAATGGAAGAAGCCGGCGTCCATTTCTAAAAAGACAAACTAGCCCCTATGTTGTTCTAACAGTACGAGTATATATAGTACTCCTTACATTAAAGACGTGGGTACTCTGACTTTCAAAAGAACAGACTTGTGAATGAGTGAATGAGTCCAATTTCATATTCATTCGAGTAAATAATACATGAAATACACTGAAATTAGCTCTAACCTAATGAAGAATACATTTACGGACCAATCTGACTTCTTGGACAGTTCAACAACATTCTGAGTGTCATTGAGAAACTTCCTGTTTCCACAGAAAAATGAAGGCAGAACCAGAGATCATACAGACGCTGTCAGAGGCTCCACATACGCAAGGCACAACAGAGCCGGCCAGCTAACCAACAGAGCAGACTGGCTCTGGTTTCAGACAGAGGGTGAAAAGAGGTGCTGCAGCACAGACAGTGTGAGAAAATAAGAGCATTAAAGCATGGAGAAATGCCAGGAGAGCCACAAAGCATTTCAACTTGAATAGAGCAGAATAGGCCCTTTAAAGATACGATTACTATCATCATCATCATCATCATGCTGGTGTTATGATTTTAATCAAAGAGAGGCTATTAGAGGAAATGTGAAAATATCAAAATAAATATCAATAATGTTGGCATATATTATGTATGAGCCACATCGCCCTGATCTCAGAGAGCTGCTACGTGCCTGCCCGCCGACCCTCTCCTCCCCTCCTCTTCCTCGTCCCCCTCCTCCTCCTCTTCCTCACGTCTCTCACCCCCCTTTTTACCCCTCTCTTCCTGTTCTCAGCACCCCCTTCCCTTCCTAACGACCCAGCAATCTACGCCTCCTCTCACCTGCCGTTTCTCCCCGTCCCTCTCTGCATGTCTCTTGTTGCCCCCAGCAACTGTTGAAGCTACACCTTGGTTACCGTGGTGACGGTGTGGCTCACCACCACAGGGACTGGGTCTCTGCATCTGGGTGCTGTTGAGTTGGCCAACACATGACTTCAATTGGTTCAATATAAGCCTATGGGGTGCTGAATTGATACCTGTATGTATCATGGCTGTGACTAATGGTTGCTTTCATTATAGAAAATGTCAGAAACTTGACACAGCAGCTCTACTCTTGAAGAGTAGAGCCTGAAACGCCTCCATTTGACTAACAGTGACATCACTACGTAACACTTGCACTTCTATTGGGTAGCACTCTAACACATTGCACGTGATAGTCTAAGGGGTGGGACATCTCTTAGTGGTTGACCAATCACAACAGAGCCGGCCAGCTAACCAATCAGAGCAGACTGGGCTCTGGTTTCAGACAGAGGGGACAGATGAGAACAATAAAGAGTTTAATGAGACATGTCCCAGTAGAGACACTAAATACTGATATGAGCCTGAAAATCAGAATAGTATTTCCTCTATAATATCCAAAAGATCTGGTGCTACTCTGGGGATCAGATCTATTTAAAGCACTGTTGGGGATCTCTGCACTCTACGTTGATCTGTTTCTGTCAAAATCTCCCTTTTCATGTCACAGCAGGGAGATCACACAACACATCACTGCAGCTGCAACACACACACACACGCACACGCACACACTTTTCTGAGCCGACAACTATCTCTGCAGCTCTATGATCTTCTCCCATACTGAACAGGAAGAGCCTGAACGCACCTGAAAACATTCTTGAGCGCTACAACAAGTCTGCACTACAGAGGAAGCCACATCACTGCATGACATAATTGAGGCAGCCATTTTGGCTCAGCACAGTGGGGTGCATCTATGTAACATAATCACAGCGCTACAGCTGCCATATCACGGAAGAAACAGGTAGGCTAATTGGGTTTTCTTGTTCATATTTCACAGCTTGCACATTAACAACAGTACGTTTATTCATGGTCTAGTTGGGTTTTGATATCTGTGGGGAAATCCAGCCTGACCCAAATGACCTCCGGACAGGAAACTGGAACAAAATTAAATAATCGATAATCCCACGATATTTGAGTTTTCCTATTGGTGCATTCAACAAATATTTACATAATGGATTTTTTTTATAATAGTATGACAAAGACAGTCCAACCAGCTTTATTTACTTAAAATGAGCAGCTACTTCGCAAAAACAGGGGGTTGAAATCTAATGCAATAGTCCTGAATTAGAGCTGGGTATCATACTTCTATCAATACTACTGCCAATTCGTAAATCAAAATCTAATACTATATTTATTTTGAGATATAATTACAAAATCGTTTTTAAATTGAACAAAAGCAGCCAACATAATCAAAAGAAAAAACAAAAATTAACAGCATTGTCCTAGTGGGAAATTATTTTTTTTCCATCCACTGCATCACAACACTTTCTACAACAACTAATGGAAACATTACGCTGTATTATTTTGCACTTCACCCCTTGTACAGTCAATGTTATCCTATCCTGACACAACATTACTGACCAGTGTGGAAAGCAGCGTTACGAGATTCCTCTAAAACAGTTAACACCCACCTCTTTTGGTCTTCAAATAAATTGACAAACTATATCTGGGCAGCCAATCTATCTATTTATCACTTCCTGTTTTGGTTCCGGCATGATAGTTTAGATACGTTTGTGCAATTAGAAGCTAAAATACAAGTTTCAAGAAGTCAACATGTTTAAACGATGTCAATATTTCCATATATTTGCCTTTTTTCTATCAAAGTTCAAACATATTCTTTCATAAAAGCTGTCAGAAATGTAAAGAGGAAATGCAAAGTTAATCAAAGTATGTACTTTTGATTAAAAACACATAACTACAAAGCACAAAAGTTGAATCCTATATGCTTGATGATTGTCAGGATGTACTTGACTGTGAAACACTGAAGCTATAACATTGCTCATGGTGGTCACGTGACAGGAAGCACAAGTGAAAACAGTGACATTCAAGATCAATATGTTGTTCTTGACTGTTTAAAAGAACCAAGAAGGTATTCCGAATAATTTCAGTCTAATCCAACTCAAGCTTGTGTTTTATGTCTATGTGTTTTAGAACTGGCTCTCTGTGTGTGGGGTTAACTGGTGTCAAAATATAGAGGACCCAAAGGCACCCCCTTCTCCAAGTAAAGCTGCGACATAAAAGCATCTGATAATATAACATCACAGGGAAACTCAGTAATGCACTGAGCGGGGAAAATAGCCTGGTCTAGACTCAGATCAGACTGCAATGCAGAGCTATGAGCCTGCATTCACGTGGACGAGAGAAACGAGGGTCCAGTATTAATTTAATGAGCTCTGACATGCAACCTTGCTGCTCTAACGTCAACACCAGGTGGCCTGAGAGAGGCTGGGGCTGGGGGGAGGACTGCCTCAATCGTGCAATAAACGTGCCAGAATCTGCGCCACATCATCACCTCACATCCTCTCCAATGCTGTCAGTTTACACACATCATTTTCCCCAAAGCAGTTCACGAGGTGCAGGCATGCAGCGGTTTGCGCCAGTTGCGCAGATAACATCCGACTAATAGCATTTTCAACCAAAAAACGAGTGAGATTATTATATAAGGCTTATGTCACTGAGATATGATGCGTAATGCGCAGCCACCAGAACTTCCCCCAGCTGATGGGCTACAAACAGTCCGGTTACCTGGCAGATTAATGCAAACTAAACCCTCCCTATCCTGCAGCTGATGAGCCCTAAAAGGAAATGTTAGACAATCAGCATTGAAGGACAGTCTGTACCCAGCTTCAGGGGCCCGGTTCAGTCCCCCCTGGCTGTGCCCTTGGTTATTAACACATCTCCATGACGAGGAACACAACAGCACATAATCCGGTCCAGGCGTTCACTATCATTCCCCTTTTTCCCAGCAATCATA